GCATTGGCAGGCGGACTCTCAACCACTGCGCCACCAGGGAAGCCCTGAAATGGAATCTTAATCTTATTCCATAAAAGAGCAAATGAGACCATCTGAACTGGACCTTTCATCTCTTGACACCCTGGTGTCCTTTTATAATCACACTAAGTCCACATCTTACATCTGCTACTCAAATCTCACTTAACAGTTTTTAAACAGGGAAGCAGACCCCTCACTAGTCCCTGCTGACCAGCTAGGACAGGACATTTGATGTGGAAGAGAGAAAGTGAGGAGAAGAAGAAAAGGCACAAGTTCAGAGTCAGACAGACCTAAATCCAAATCCCAGCTCTGCCACCTTGCGACCTTGGGCAACTCACTCCTCTGAGCCTCAGTGTCTTCATCTGTAAAATAGGGAGAATAACACCTACTTCAGAGTCAGCCTATGGTATACGGTCAACAGTAAATTGTAATTCCTTCCCATTCTTTTCCTTCTTATCTACATGCGAAGAACTGTGGCCAGTAGGAAGCAGTTGTGTAGGATTATATATTTGATTGTTTAAGTGTACATATAGATCATTCACCCTTCCTTCAAGAAATACCCAATATAAACTCAGTAACAATAACATAAAAAATAAAAACAAAACATCCATTCAGGAAAGGAGCTAAATCCAAAAGATACCATAATGTTAGCTGAATCAGCCAATTGCAAAAATCCAAACATATTAGATACTCACATTAATGTGGAAAAGATAGTGGTGTGTTGAGTTCTTTGCTCATATAATATGGGAAAGGAAAATCACTAGAAAATATTTGGGGAGTGCCTCTTCGAGGTCTAGAATTGCCCAATGTATTCTGAGTGAGCAATTTTTCCATTTTCCCATGGAAGAAGATCGATGAGTGCTAATGACTTCTAGTAACATTTTGATAGAGTGGATACAACAAAGTATGGAATAAATAACCAGCTTACCTTCAGTACGAGGTGGAGGAGAAAGAAGGATATATGAGGGAGCTAAATATGCGAGGACAACTTCTACAGAAATAGAACATAAAAGGGTTACAGTTTAGAATCAGCTCGTTGCAACAGCGACCCCATGTGGTAAATAGACTTGGACAGAAGAAATGTTTCACAGAAGTCAATAGTTCCGTGCAATTTATGGACTATCCATCATATTTTCTTTGTTAAATGCAGTAGCCAGTAGTTTGGCTTGTTCAGGTGGACCATGGGGTCTATTTTAGGCAATGGAAAAAAACCCTGAATGGGGATCTAGACAAACTAGTTGTAAACAATTCTCTGGACTTGATATTTGTGCAATTTTGTACAACTCACTTATCGTCTGACAAGCACAGTTTCTTCATCTCTATAAGAGATATTATGGAGATTAATTAAATGAACATAATAAAGTTCTTTCTAAACTATAGATTTCTATATAAATACCAACTATGTTTAACATAGGAAATATCACAAGACCAAAAAATAATCTTTTCAGGACAACAAATGCAACTTGATGTTTCTGGTTTGCCATCTGTTAACTCACTTAGGAGTTTATTACTGGATATCAAGCAACGAGAGGAGGAAACACTAGAAGCTTTCCTATATTGCAGCCTTTGGAATGAAAGTAATCATTAATGGTTGTGTTGTGTTATGCATTGAATTTTGTCCCACCTCCCCTGCCCCCTCCCAAAAAGAAAAAGATATGTTGGAATCCTAATCCATAGGACCTCAGAATGTGACCTTATTTAAAGATAGGTCTTTACAGAAGTAATCAAGTTAAAATGAGGTTATTTTGGAAGACTCTAATCCAGTATGACTGGTGTCCTTATAAAAAAGGGAAATTTGGACACAGAGACAGACGCAAATAAAGGGAAAACAATGTGAAAAGGCACAGAGAAAAGATGGTCATCTACAAGCCAAGGAGAGAGTCCTGAAACAGATCATTCCCTCACAGCGCTAGGAAGGAACCAGCCCTGCTGACACCTTGATCTTGGACAAGGTGAGAGACAATAGCCTTTACAACTGTGAGACAATAAATTTGGGGAAGGGGAGAAGATGAAGAGCTAAACCTTGCACCACTTAATTTTAAGCGTTTCTGGATTCTTGCAGAGAACCCAATGAAACTCATTATACAATCAGAAAAAGATCAGAGGAGGGAGGACTGACTGGAGCACAAGGTGGCTCCAAGGAGAGTGGTTCCTCTTGGAGAGAGATGTCCCCCTAGCATCCAGGCAAGGGCAAGTTCTCACATAGCTGCAGCAGGTGGCTGTCTACATCTACAGTTCTCAGGAAAACCAGGATAATTTTCTGTCCCCAAAAATGTTTCTCCACCCCTACCTTCTCTAAAATACTTAAAATTATATTTCAGGGACAAAAACTGTGATTCCACAAGTAACAAAAAAAAAAAATGTCAGGCTTCCCTGGTGGCGCAGTGGTTGAGAGTCCGCCTGCCGATGCAGGGGACACGGGTTCGTGCCCTGGTCCGGGAAGATCCCACATGCCGCGGAGCGGCTGGGCCCGTGAGCCATGGCTGCTGAGCCTGCGCGTCCGGAGCCTGTGCTCCGCAACGGGAGAGGCCACAGCAGTGAGGGGCCCATGTACCAAAAAAAAAAAAAAAAAAATGTTGCTTGAATGAAATTTAACCACAATGTAATTCGATAGGATAATATTAGCTCCTTTCCTAAAAGCAGGTTTCCCGGTATAGAAGATGGTATTAGAATATAGGTCCAAATGATGTGATGAAGGCCAAAGTAAAGTAACTTAAACAAGATAGAAGTGTATTTCCTTCTCATGCTACAGCCCAAATATTAGCAGTTCAGGGCAAATATAGGAGTTCCATAGTGTTGGTGATGGTCCTAGTCCATTTGGGCTGTTATAACAAAAATACCATAGACTGGTGGCTTAAACAACAAACATTTACTTCTTAAAATTCTGAGGGTTAGGAAGTCCGAGATCAAGGGGCCAGCAGATTGGGTGTCTGGTGAAGACCCACTTCCTTGTTCATAGACCACCGTCTTCCTGATGCTTTGTCATATAGAGGAAGGGGTGAGGAAGCTCTCTGGGGTCCCTTTTATAACGAAACTAATCCCATTCATAAGACCTTCACTCTCATGACCTAAACATTGCCCATAGGCCCCACCTCCTAATACTATCACCCTGGGGATTAGGTTTCAACATATGGATTCCGGCAAGACACAAGCATTCAGTCTATAGCAGTGACCTAAGTACCATATTGCTATGCCTCCCTCAACACCCACCTTTATTTGGGGTCTAAGACATATTTTTATATGGACAACAATCCTTCCAGTTATCTCAACTTTATGAATTAGGAGACGAGGCATACAGAGTGTAAATGGCTGATCCAATGTCCCATAGTTACTAAGAAGAATCGGAAAATATAATTTATACTTCCTAATTCTCAATTTAGTCCTCTTTCCACAGAGTTCTTAAAGTGAGATAAAAGAGAGGATAAAAAAATGAATATTATGAAGGAAAACTCTATTGAATTTCTAGTTTTGCCTAAAAGTTACCTGACTTTCCTCCTCAAGGTAAAACAGGCCAATTACCAGGACCAAATGACAAAACAGAACTTCTAAGGAAACTTAGTTGCTCCCTCCCAGCCACCTCAAAACATGGGGAAAACATAGACCTGAGCATGCAGTGTCCCTGCCCTGATCTGAATTTTAAAAGGCTCTACCCTGGCCGTCCTCCAGCTGCTCCCATACCACTCCCTATGAAAAGTCCACAGTGCCAAGGAGATACCTCTTCTAGACCATACTCTGGGTACCCAGGATCCCAGGATTCCCCGCACACATGTCCCCAGATCCACTTTTAAGGTCTGCATGTGCTTCCTCCAAGTACCATCTTCCCAGATGCAGGTATTCCACCAGTGTATACACAACCCTAGGCCCAAGGGGTAGTCAAGGAATGGCTGTTTGCAGGGATTGTAGTCATGTGGGCTAAGGTGTCTCTATCAAAAATAGAATTCAAAAATAGATCAGGGTATATATGGGAATTTAGTATACTATAAATGTAGTATTCCAAATCTATGGAGCAAGAGTGAAGTTTTCAATAAGTAGTGTTCCTACTATTGTCTATCTATTTGGAAAAAATAAACAAATGTAAGTCCCTACATAAAAATTAATTTCTTTTGAGATATACTCCTTTGAATCATATGGTTCAAAATGGAGCTGCTAACTTCTTTCAGAATCAGCCCGAGGCACCACTAATTAATTGGTCAAATGTAGAGCAAAGATGGGCGAATCCTAGCAGCCCATACACCCCCACCAAGGGTTGTCCAGGAAAGAGCAACTGACTCGCATTGAATCAATGAGAGCCCTTCCCAGGATTTTCTAAATTGAGAGAAAGAGAGAGAGAGAGGCATCGAGTCCAGTCCCTCTCAAGGATGTACATAAAAGGATGTAGCATAGGAGCTGTAATCAGCCTAGTTGTTTAAACAACATGTTTAAATCCTACCTGATTTGAATTCTCCTCCCATTATGCACTCACTTGCTGTCTCTCTCTCCTTCCTTCACAGCTAATTTATCTCTACTTCCTTATCTCACGTAGCATTTTGTGCAGTTCTCTGTCTTAGCACTTACCAAACTGTTTTGAGTTCCTAGTTTACTGTTCATTCCTACAACCAACTTTTTTTGACAGGGACCATTTTGGGAGTTAGGGCTATACCATCGCTGAAAGCAGTCTCACTCCTTGAGGAGCCTATAGGCTGATGGAGAAGTGGAGTGGTTAGACTACACACCTGAGAGGCAGACTGCCTGGGTTTCAGTTTACTGTTTAATAATTTTGTGGCTTGAGTGAGATACTGAAATTCTCTGAGCCTTAGTTCCTTCATCTGTAAAGTGAAGCTCATGATAAGAGTTTTGAGAATTAAATGGGTTCACAAATGTTTGGGATCCCTCCTGACACCTAGAGATCAAGGATAGTTTCTTTCACCTCCTTATCATCGGTGCTTAGCACAGTACGTGGCACACAAGGACTCATTTCAATAAATACTTGTCAAATGAACTAATTCTGTGGCTTTACATTGTAATTAAGTTATAATGAGTGACAAACCCAGGAACCACAACACCCGCTGGTGGAGGGATATTAAGGCTTCAGGAAAATGGTTTTTCTGTGCTCAGGGGTTTGTATTCAGTTTGCCCTGCAGCCCCTTCCACTGTGTCTCTCGTAGCACAGAAGTACAAGTCAGTCATTCCCTAGAACAGATGGTTTCTTCAGGTGGGAAGAGGTTTGGCTCTTATTAAATTCAGCCTCGGGCTTCCCTGGTGGCGCAGTATTTGAGAGTCCGCCTGCCGATGCAGGGGACACAGGTTCGTGCCCCGGTCCAGGAAGATCGCACATGCTGTGGAGCGGCTGGGCCCGTGAGCCATGGCCCCTGAGCCTGCGCATCCGGAGCCTGTGCTCCGCAACGGGAGAGGCCACAACAGTGAGAGGCCCACGTACCGCAAAAAAAAAAAAAAAAAAATTCAGCCTCAAAACCATAGTTGCCTTTAACAAGCCTGTCCCCTGTGATGTATTTCAGAAGGAACTAGAGACCTTGATTGCGATGTTGGACATACCAAAAAAGATGTGTTCCCTGACACTGAATAGGTGCACTTCACAGTCACCGGATCCCCTTCTGTGACAGTGACCTGATCTTCTGGCGGAGTCATTGACTGAGCTCTCAGTCCACCTATAAATTAATCCATAACGCATCAGAGAAACTGCTGAAAAAGAATGTAAGTGGGTAATACAAGTGGCAAATGGGAAGGGAATATCACTCACTGGGTGTAAAGAGAATCGCAAGTGTTGAGATACATGCAGAGGCCACGGCTCAAGCTGGGCTGGATGGGGGCTCCTTTCCAGTCCACATTTGCTGGAGATATGGCCCCACTCCAAAGACTATGTTCTCAAAGAGCACAGCATTTTACAAATGGCCCTGGTGCTTCCTGGCACCTGTACCATCTCTCTGTAGAGGAAGCTCTTGGTCAGGCTCCTCAAAGTTCTATGGAAAGCAAGACTGCTGCACCTCTTACCCCCAGGGCAAACCTCACACTGCAGCACCCCCTAAAGCCCACACAGAACCAGGTGACTTTACTGTAGAGTAGTCAGGGCTTCCAGGTCTTATCACAGGGCCCAGTCCTCTGGATGTCTACATTTTCCATTGGTGCTCAAGGAGAAGAAACGGGTTTGTGAACCAAAGTGGAAAAAAATGCATGCTGGGTGGATCAAGTTTTAAATGATTTATGCTCTCTCAAGATAATATAGAGACAGAAAGAAAGGAAATAGAATATTTTAATAGGATGGGAAAATAAATAGAAAAAAAGAAGGGAAAGCAGAGCGTTGGATGAAGAAAGAAAGAAAAAGAATAATGAGAGAAAAGAAAAAGGCAAAATAGCAGAAAAGAGTAAGGCAAGAGAAGACAAATGATAAGAATGAGCTTATTTGTCTCTTCAGAAATAATTTAGAGCTGACTTCTGAATAAACCTCTTTGACCACAAGATAAGTCAGGTTTTTCTCTTGGTTGGGTCTGTTGGGATTCCTCCCCGTGATGATATCTAGTTAAATAGTCATACAAAAAGAACTTGAACCTTCTCTTTAAACATTTATAGAGAGAGAAAAAAAAGGGGGAGTGGTATTATAAACACCTCCTGGTATATTTGCCCTATTAAACAGTATATTTTAAAATAAAAAAAATTTAAATTTTAAAAACCTCTGTGAAAGTTTGCAAAGATAGAGATTTTCCACATAGAGAGGCTACTTAAAACAGACTTCAGATGAAGTGCACATTGAGTAAAAATTCATGGTTAGGGACTTACCTGGTGGCACAGTGTTTGAGAGTCCACCTGCCAATGCAGGGGACACAGGTTCGAGCCCTGGTCTGGGAAGATCCCACATGCCACGGAGCAGCTAAGCCCGTGCGCCACAACTCCTGAGCCTGTGCTCTAGAGCCCGTGAGCCACAACTACTGAGCCCACGTGCCACAACTACTGAAGCCTGTGCGCCTAGAGCCCATGCTCCGCAACAAGAGAAACCACCGCAATGAGAAGCCCGCGCAACGCAACAAAGAGTGGCCCCCACTCTCCGCAACTAGAGAAAGCCTGCGCGCAGCAACGAAGACCCAACGCAGCCTAAAGTAAATAAATAAATTTATTAAAAGAAAAAATTGATGTTTAACCAAGCTTGAGATATTATGATGATGGCAATGGGTTCATTTTAAGGGGAAGACAGGCTAAAGTTTTATACTAAAAAATGCCACAACGGCAGCAGACATTATTCAATAGATGTGAATGTAAAGGAAACAAATAAGTATAAATACAAAGAAGTTGTTTCTCTGATTTTCCTTATTTTTCCTTTAAATGTCCAAATAAACCACACATTTTGGAAAGAGGATAGAAAATCTCTTTGCTTTGAGTCAAAAAAAATGTGGAAGGTAGCTATTTCTGAAAGCTTTGCTAAGGTTCTCATGCTAGTTAAAACCTTTACCCTATGATAATGTCTTTCTTTGGCATATGTAAGTTATCTTTAAATACTAATCTTCAAGTCCCAAAGAGACCTGTGATGAATGGGAACATAGAATATATTTCTTCTCTCTCTTCCTAGAGCTTAAGTGTTACCGGCAATCATCTCCAGAGGATGACTGGGAAAAGCTTAGTGAAAGGAATATTTTTAAATACATGGGTAGGATTAGGGGAAGCCTACAAGAGGAGGTAAGGCACCCTGAGGCCAGCAACAGTCAGAAGACTTCACCACACCTAGACTTGAAGGGACAGAGGAGGAAGAAATTACCCTAGCCTGGGAGACCTGTAACTGAGGTAGATCAACAGGACCTGTGGATTTCAGCACAAAAAAGAAAAGATCTAAGAATATAAATATGCTGACCACTCTCTCCTGCCAATGCCTCCCACTGGGCCAAACCCAACCAGAAGCACAAAAGACAAGTACGTAGAAGTCAGCCTCCTGGGCATAGAGCGGGATGGAGAGTAGACCTGGAGAGGAGGGCAAAGAACATCCAGCCCCCTGAGACTGGGGTTTATGGCTGCCCTGTCCATCAGGCAAAATGTGGGCATATCCTAAATGTATGTATGGGCATATCTATACAGCATTTTGATTGATGTAGAAAGACAAAAAAGTCAAATTAAAACAAGAGTCCAATATAGACTTTAGTGCTGTAATTAAATTTTCCTGGTAATTGCCCAATCTCTACTACTTCTATCCTCTACAGATGTAGAACACACAGCATGCAGAACTATGCTTAGATAGTGCAAGTGACTTAGATTTTGTTTACGTTCAACCATTTAGTAATTAATTCCAAGAGCTACAAATGAATTAAACCTTTAAGAGACCACACACCCAAAGGATTCCTAGGGCATCAGTTGAGCTTTCAGAATTGAACAAAATAGGGCTTCCCTGGTGGCGCAGTGGTTGGGAGTCCGCCTGCCGATGCAGGGGAGACGGGTTCGTGCCCCAGTCTGGGAAGATCCCACATGCCGCGGAGCGGCTGGGCCCGTGAGCCATGGCCACTGAGCCTGCGCGTCCGGAGCCTGTGCTCCACAACGGGAGAGGCCACAACAGTGAGAGGCCCACGTACGGAAAAAAAAAAAAAAAGAATTGAACAAAATAGACTCAATAGCTATTCTGCTTATGTGATTTACGAGATTAATGAGATATTATTCATCAAATACCTACTGTGAGCATAATGTTAAGCCCGTTACATTTCTTGACTTTTTATTTCTCCTAATATTTTAGAGATGAGGACACTGGAGTTCAGGAATATTAGGTAATTTACTCAAGTCACCCCTAAAGAAATAGAACAAAGATTTTAACCCATACTTTTCTGACTTCAGAAGCATTCTTTCCACTAAATCACACTGAGAATTTCAATTTTGATCATTTACTTTTTTTTTTTTTGGATCATTTACTTTTTAAAAAAACCTTATAATATTGGAAAGTAATTCCATTATCCTAATAAAATTATACAATCATAGACTTGAATGTGCCAAGTAGAACTTTAGAGGTCATCTTATTGAGTGTATGCCAAATGCTGACCTCATTTGTATGTGCCACATAACCAAAGCAGTCCCTAGATAATCGCTTCTAAGAGGTCCTCAGACATTTGAAGAACTGGCTGAGCTACTGACCCCAAGAAAACTTTACCATCAATGCAGATATTACCAGCAGCAGACAGAGCAGACTGATCCAGGGAGACCTTGGACAGCTTCATGCCAGCTGCATTGGACTCTTAAGTAACTCTCCAGCCCTGCTCTCCATGTTTAGTCTCAGGAGTCTTAGAACAGCTTTTTCAACCAGGAATTTTTTATTTTGTTTTGTTTTTAATGGGAAGTAAGCCTCCAAAAGAGAATATGGAAATCTCTATATAGATGCAAACTCCCAGGATTTGGGAATACAGGGAAGTTTACTCTCCTGTAAATGTTTCACAAGTCACCATCGGACTGAAAGCTTCATGATGCCTTTAAGAGTGAGCTATCCTGAGCTCTCTTCTTTGTAATTCCTCTCTCATCAACTGCATTTCCCCCTTCTTTTATTTCATTCTTCTTCCACTTCCCCTTTGGGTAATAATGTCTTTAGTATTTTACATATGAGCTGGAAAAAATCTGGTAGGAAGACTAGTCATTGAGAGTTTAAACAGTAGAATCAAAACATCAATGTAAAAGGTAGGGTTTTCAATACATCACACACACACACACACACACACCCCTCAGTGAACTGAAAAGAACTTCCTCTATGAAGAAAAGGAATTTTCTGTCTCTTTTCTTGCTTGCCAAAACAATGAAGGGGCCACATGCTTATTCACTGTTTATGGAGCAACAACAATACACACGGCACCATGCAGAACTCATGAAGAAAATGCACACATGCTTCGTCTTTTCAAATATTTCATTTGGTTAAAAGGTAAGACTAATACACTGCTAAACAAGCAATAATCCAAAATAGAATATGCCTAAAGAAGTTGTACAAACATATACCAATTTATATGTGTATACAGTGGAGACATTTGGATGTTACTAAAAGTAAAGAATAGTGGCTAAAGCCTCAAGATCTGGAGTCCAGACTCTTGGTTTCCCACATCAAATCTGACTGAACATCAGAATCACCAGGGAGACATTTATGGAAAATACAGACTTCAGGACCCCACTCCTGAAAACTCTGATTCAGTTCATGTAGAATGTAGGAAACAATCTATTTTTTTGAACAAAACTCCAGAGACTTAGGATTTTAAAAAGTTTGGGAATCACTAATCTATCCTAGGACCTTGGTTTCTAAAGTGGGAGGGACAGGTCTGGGTAAAAAGACAAAGTAACAAGGATATGGGAAGAATATATTACAACTTCCAGTTGTATTTTATTTTAGCTTAAAAATTTGGAAGGAGATTGAATTTTACTAATATTTCATATACCAATTGGCACTGACATCCTCACGGGGCCTATATATTAGATTATAATAAGTAAAATATCCTGAGGGAAGGATTGAGCTTCCAAACTCAGGGCTGTTGGCAGTAGCCACTCACTCATTCATTCGCTTTCAGCTTACTATATTATCCAGTGTTAACTAAAGTACCCTTTATAAAGTGGATACACGTCTTGAAAAGATTCCTGCAAAGAGAGTGAAGCTGGCAGATAATTAAAATGCAAACACAGAAAGCAAGAAGAAAATGGCAGAGTGGACATGACTCTTCCTCCTATCACAAGTTCATCATCAGCCATTTTATGAGGGAAAGCAAAAATAATTCAATCAGATTTCAAAAGAAATGGATCAAAAGTGTTTCAATTAACAAGAAACTATTTAAGGGCTTCCCTGGTGGTGCAGTGGTTGAGAATCCGCCTGCCAGTGCAGGGGACACGGGTTCGATCCCTGGTCCGGGAAGATCCCACATGCTGCGGAGCCACTAAGGCCGTGCGCCTCAGCTACTGAGCCTGCGCTCTAGAGCCCGCGAGCCACAACTACTGAGCCCGTGTGCCACAACTACTGAAGCCAGTGCGCCTAGAGCCTGTGCTCCACAACAAGGGAAATCACTGCAATGAGAAGCCCGCGAACTGCAACGAAGAGTAGCCCCCACTTGCTGCAACCAGAGAAAAGCCCACACACAGCAATGAAGACCCAACGCAGCCAGAAACAATAAATAAAATAATAAAATAAATAAATTTATCTTTTAAAAAAGTAAACTATTTAAAACATGAATTTATAGACCATTAATGAAACACTCTTTAAAAACATATTTCCCTATGTACCTTTACTAATATATAGTGTGTCTGGACTCAAATGTTTTTTCTGATAGTGCCAAATGGAAAAGCTTGGAGAACGTTGAATTGGGGGTGGTGAGGTGAACAGTTATTGCTCATCTTTTTTCCACCTCCTGCAAAGGCTGTGATCTCTCCTTGTTTCTGTTCAGCTCTTCATGGATTTCCTGCCTCTGTGTCCTCCAGAGCACAGTAGTAAATGGCTGCATCTGCCATCTGCACCTGGAGGATAAGCAGTGATGAAGAGAACCGCTCATATGTCATGTTGTACCGTCCCTGCTGAGAAGGCCTTGAGCCCTTAACAAGGAGTCTTGGTGCACATCCAGGGAAGTGAAGGTACCAGAAGAAGTCGTAAGCATTGGATAAAGAGTGATTACAGGAGATTTCTGCCAGAGCACCCTCCGAAGAGACCACAGTGGAAGGCTGAAATACTCGGTCCTTGCTCTCTGCAACTACAGGAAATAAAAAAAGAACGTTGTGACTTTTACACTGCTATTTGGTTTACTGATTACCCCTTAGGTACAGTGGGTATTAATGAATTTGGCTGTTTCATTTTTTTAATGAGTCCAAGTTTTTGTTTTTCTTTTTTTTTTTTCTAATGAGTCCAAGTTTTAAAACAATGGCATACACTTTTCCAAGACCAGATGATGCAGGAGCCTACTCACCATTCCAGAGAGAGCTGAGGAGGAGCTCCAGCCACAGTGCTTCCAGAACGCTCTGCAAAGCCATGGCCAAAACGCAGCTGGTCTCAGGCCTCAGCCACAAGTGTGATGCTCACCAGGAAGCTGATGTAAGGCTGCCTGTTTTGCATTTTCTTCTGTGTCATGACATCATCAGCCAGAATCTGTGAACTGAAGAAGAGTGACTACAGTCCTGAGGCTACATAATAATGACTTTGTTTTGAGAAGGTAGTCTTAAAAAGGAATGTATCCTTTCAGAGGTCACCACAGCTGTGCATTTAAGAATGAATTAATCATTTAAGAGCTCTCTTCCTTCATTAGTGGTGTCAGAAGGAGTATCACAATGGTTGGGAGACTGCTTCATCATTCAAACTAAAGAGATAGATTCACACAAAAGGTATGCTGAACTTATCACATGTGCTATAATGATATAACATGTTAAAAATAATGATCATGAAATCATAGTAATTGTGGTAGATGAGCAATAGGTTTTTTTAAGGCACAAAAATTACGATGTAAATTATGATATTCATCAAAATTTGACTCCTTTCATCCAAGGTGATCTCTGGAATAAGTATAGAAAGAAAATCTCCCTTGTATTTTTCTGTAACCAAAAGAAACTGGGTCAAGGAAGACCCAAAATTGCATTTGGAGATGATCTCTTTTGGATGGTACCTATCCTCATCTTATAGCCTGAGACTGTCCCCTGTGTTATTATTGAGGGCTTCATACTTCTGCCTGAGGCTTTTATACAGATTTTCTTGGGATTTTGTTTGAAAAAGAAGAGTAAACAAGGTTTATGGCAATTCATGGTGTATACAGTAGAGTTTTTATGTGCACCACCACCACTTAGTGGGCAACATGGGAACTGATGGGAAATCATATCCCCAAGCAGCCTCTGAGACAGTCTTCATAGCTTCTCACATCCTGAAGAGAGTTTTTGCCATTTGCTTTTGTTCAAATTCCTTTTCCTTATTCAGTTTCCATAGGGATATGAAGTCTATACAGAGGAAATAACCACCTTCCTGGAAAGCCTTCTGATTAACAAAAGATGTTCCTCATTCAGATGAGTGATTTATTTAAAACACACTTCCATAGAGTGAAATATTTCTTTTCCTCATCCTAAGATGGTTGCTTTATTCATTTCCTTTTCTGTCTTTTTAAAATAGTATCCCAGGTCAGGAGAAATTCGTTTCTTCCCTAATATTTTTTTTCTTTTTTTACTGGGAGATTCCTTAATAATAATAAGATGATCATTAAGGTCCAACAGTGACTTTTTATTTACATATAAATTTTTTAAAGTTTCCCCAGAAAAAGTTTCCCCAGAAAAAAAAGTTTCCAAATAAAATACAAAATTCCAATATGGCTGTAAAATTAGGATGGAGGAATCAAAGACAGTGGACACAGATTCATTTAGTAGAAAAACTAATATGGCTACTGGGATTAATTTGAGCTCTGAAATTTCTGACAATTGAAACACAAAAGGAAACACAAAGGAAATACAATTATACAAGTAAGCTAAGTGTTTAGGCAGCTTCATCCTGAAGCCAAGTGGTCTACAGCTATAGATAATTTAAAACTCTTTTTTGATTACTGGGTATGTACTTCTGGCTCACAGTTTCCAACTACTGCAAAATATTTTACCATGTGCTTCCCCCACATTTACCTATCCAACCCCCCTAGTGAGGGACTCATAGGATGCCTCTAACTCCCATCAACACAGCAATAAACATATTTCTATATTTCCACTTATTAACTATGTAAGAACTTCTTTGGGATATGTCCAATTATAGTGTATATACATACTCAATTTCACTAATCACTCAAAGTAGTGATAATCACATACAACTTCTACCAAAAATGCTTGAGCATTCCAGTCTCTCCAAATCCTCAACAGCATTTGGTGTTATCAAAATTATAAAACTGTCTAAATTTTACCAATATGCTGAGTGTGGAGTCTCATTTTAACTTGTATTACTCGTTTGGTGAAATTGAGCTATTTGTGTTTTCCTTTTCAATATTACCTGTTCAAATGATTTGCGCATTTTAAAATTAGGTCCCCAGTCTTTTTCTCAGTAAATTTCAGGAGTTCCTCATACATTGATTCCTTGAAGTGTTCAACATCACAAATACCTTCTTCTAGTATACCCCTAATGTGTTAACTTTGTCTATGGTGTCCTTTTTGAATGGAAATACTTCATTTTGATGGGGGTCAAAGATATATTTTTTTTTTTACTTTATGATTTGAGTTTTGGAATTTTGACTTAGAAATCATTCCCTACTCCAAGGCCATAAACATAATTTCCTGCATTGTATTTTGTTATCTTTATAGGTTTTTCTTTTACATGTAGGTTTTAATTCATCTGAAATCTGCATGTATATATGGTGTAAGAGGAAATGCAACTTTATATTTCTCCGTAGAGCAGAATAGTCTTCCCAGCAGTATCTACAAAATAATCCACCTTTCCCCCACCGATCTGTGGTACAGTCTTTATTACATATAATGTTACCTAGGAACTTGGTCTCTTCTTGAGTTTTGTATTTTGTTTCATTGATATAGTTGTTTCTGTAACACTACCATACTGTTTTTATCATCTTAGCTTTATAACGCAATATGCTTTATCAAGATCTTCCTTTAATCAGTCATATTTTCAGATGCAATTCAATAAAATCTACTCTGGCTAGTTTATGCAGAAAAATTAAAAGATATTAAGTAGCTCACAGACTCTCCAGAAGAGGTAGGTAGTGAGGATTCGATGCTATATGTCAGAAAGAATTCTCAAATACACCTCACCACACGGAATGCTCTAATCAAGCAATCAAATGTCATCACCACTCAGACCCAACACCACAAATTCACCCCTCACAGTCCTCACTACACACATTAAAGGATACATCGGCACACCTACTACCGGAGGACTGCAATGAGCAGTAGTAGTTACAGTGACCACCTCTTTCTTAGACCATAAAGAGAATGCACCTAAAATATTTCCACATAGAGACTTCCTTTATAGCCTAGTACGTGCTCACTTTTTTTTTTTTTTTTTTGCGATATGCGGGCCTCTCACTGTTGTGGCCTCTCCCGTTGCGGAGCACAGGCTCCAGACGCGGTGGCTCAGCGGCCATGGCTCACGGGCCCAGCCGCTCCGCGGCACGTGGGATCTTCCCGGACCAGGACACGAACCCGTGTCCCCTGCATCGGCAGGCGGACTCTCAACCACTGCGCCACCAGGGAAGCCCCATGACTTATTTATTTTATAGCGGGAAGTTTGTACCTTTTGACCCTTTTCACGCATTTTGCCCACTCCCCACCCCGTCCTTATAGCAACCACCAATCTGTTCTCTGTTTCTTTGAGTTTTTTTTCCTTTGGTTGGTTGGGTTTTTGTTTTTGTTTTTTCAAATTCGACATATAAGTGAACAAGCAACACTTTTTTTTAAATTTGTTTATTTATTTGTTTTTGGCTGCATTGGGTCTTTGTTGCTGCGCTCAGGCTTTCCCTAGTTGCGGTGAGCGGGGGCTACTCTTTGTTGTGGTATGCAGGCTTCTCATTGCGATGGCTTCTCGTTGCAGAGCACGGGCTCTAGGTGCATGGGCTCAGTAGTTGTGGCTCGCAGGCTCTAGAGCGCAGGCTCACTAGTTGTGGTGCACAGGCTTAGTTGCTCCACGGCATGTGGGATCTACCCCGACCAGGGCTTGAACCTGTGTCCCTTGCATTGGCAGGCAGATTCTTAACCACTGTTCCACCAGGCAAATCCCAAGCAACACTTTTAAGTGTGCATCTTCTATAGGTGGTTAAGATCAAAAGCTATGCTCTTCTATAAATGGCAGCATCCAAGTGAAGTTAAGAGAATAAGTACTGGATCCAGCAGCAGATTACCTGAGTTCAAGCCCTGGTTCAGGTGCTTACCTGACGTGTAAACTCTGTGAAAATCACTTAACACCAAGTTTTCTATAATGCTCCCTACCTCGCAGAGGTATCATAAAGACTGAATAAAACAGTAAGGGTGAAAGAGTTTTTCAAACGCTAAAAGGCTATGCAAGTTTAAACAATGGTTTTCATTTATGCTATGGAGGAAAGAGGAACACACAATTTTGGAGCATCAGGGACTTCCAGGGAGGAAAAGCCTGAGTCACCTGTATGGCATTCTGTGTACAGTCAGAGGAAAGTAGTGGGCCAGGGGAGAGGGTTACAAGAGGAAGGGGGAATGTATAGAAATTGTTCAAAGATTAATTTCTCAACCTTGCATTTTACCAATGCCAGTGGTGATGGTATTTGGCCTATAATCAATTGAACATCATTTTCTATATTGCCCTTGGTGTATTATGCCTGTAATAAAGTATCTCAATTCCAGATGTTTAGAGAATTAGTATGGTCAGCATAACCCGCTTCCTAATGTGTACCCTGATTGCCAGTGTGACAGTACAAGTCCCATGTTAGCCAAGTAGCAATATCTGTAAGTTCTGAAAGACCAGGTTTTCCAATATAGTCAAGTCTGGCCCCTGATCAGTGATAATGAATCCAACAAGAAAACTGGGGAAAAGGAGCGCAAGCCACAAGTCCTTGGGAGTAAGAATTTTTGGTCACTTCTGATACTTTCCCTCTGTTACCATCCTGTCTTCCAGACACTGTTGCATGGAGAGTCAGCTAAAAGCTTACTTCTAGTTCCATACACTTTAGTTTGGATAGTCTAACCATCCCACGAAACTATTCAATCTTGAAAATCAAAGTGTAATAACCTTAATCCCTCTCCTTTGGATTCTTCTTTTACCCATTTAAACTATCAAACTCTATATCTAAGCAGAGAAAGCAAAATGGGAATTAGAGCAAAAGGTTCTGATTTTTCATTGTTATATAAAGTAATGAATACGTGATGGAAAAAAAGTTGACTGGCAATTAGTGGTGGCTTTTGCATTTGTTTCTTTGAATTGCGTATTACATAATTATACTCATGTAGATAACACATTTAGGAAGCTCCACACGCTTTGCAAAGATTTCAAGAGCTCTAAAAAAAGTTACCATTTTTATTCACCTTTAATGGATGAGAAAACTGAGGCCCAGAGGTTAAATAACTTGCCCAAATTTACACACCTAGGACGTTGGAATCTATACTCAAGCAATGTGACTCTAGAGTCCAAACACTTGACCTCGCTGGCAGACAGCAGATTAAATTTTTAACTCCATTGCCCATCCCTCAGCAATGTATTTTTATATGGATTAGATAAAAACAGGAAAGCCCCTCACCTAATACTTAGCACATAGTAAGTAATCGCTAAATAGTAGTTCATTTAATCACATATAAACACATCCTAAAGATTTAGATGTTGAAGTACCGCTTTCCCATTAAATGCCCTTAGTGATGATTGCGAAGCCTGTAACTTCGATTCCCAAAGAATTAACTTTTTCTAACTAGGGACTAGGGAAAGCTGATGTCATTGCTTTAAAGTTCCCATAAGGCCTATACAAGTCAGGTAGAGCAACACTAACACTGCAGCTGCCCTTCCCAGCTGCTTTCTTTCTCTACAGATTTCCCTTCAGTACTTGAAGGTGGGATAACCCATCTGAAACTGGCAAGACAAAATTTACACCTAGAGAGTGTGCTGCAAAGGAAACAGGATGCTTCAGTTACACTGGTTCTGAATAATTAGGTCAAGTTTTGCGTTAGACGTGTCCTGGTAAACTAGCATGCCTGCAAACGTGATCGGTAGTGGCTTTTAATCCCTTCTAACCATCAGTACAGCCTGACAAAGTGCAAAAAAGATATCATTCCTACACCACATCTTCAGTTTACTGAGAACCAATTCTAGAAAATCTTAGTGCAGAGCTATATGCTCTACATATTGAACAACATGATAATAACATATGTACAAAGGTGTGATTTTGCAGAAATGCTGAAGTACCTCTGGTAAAATACCACCAAATATAACTGCTGTGAATTATTACCAAAAACTGTGAATAAGACCCAAGGGAACTTCGAGGGCTCTGAACTTCCTTATGAAAAACTCAAGGTAAATGGGGTTATTTGATTTGTCGAACTTAAAAATAAATTATTTTTTAATGGTAGTTTAATTATTTACTTTCTCTTTTTTTAAATTTATTTATTTATTTTACTTTCTCTTGGTGGTTAAAGCTGGGCAGCAGCTGTTACAAGATTGCGTTGTAAATCCTTTTCTTTGAAGGGGAGGGAAAACAGCACGCACAAGCCTGTCTGTCTTCAGTCTCTTCTTGTTACTCCCAAACCCTTTAAAGGCTCCTTTTCCTATGGAGTTCATGCAAAACTAAAGGGAAACATAAAATCCCTGAAGCCATGTTCTTCCCAATAAGCAAAATAAGACGAGGAAATCACTACCACTCGATGATACTTTTAAAAGCTACTGTGGATGAAAGCAAAGTTCCAAAGAGGTCCCTGTTTCCAGGTTAGTCAATGTCTCTGACCTTTCTTCTTCCATCTTGGGCTTTCTGGATGCAGAGTTCAAAGGTGTCCCAGGGCCTCACCCTCGACGCGGTTCCAGTTACCGCTGCCGTCGCCGCCGCTTCGCAGCGCCGTCCGGCCTCTGAGAGGCAGAGCGCGGCCTCCGCATACTCCAAGCCAGCCCCGCTCCGCGCGCTCCCGCCCGGCGACGCTCGTCTTCGAGCCGGCGCGCGGCCGTCGACCTCAGGGCCGGGTCTCGAGCCCTCCCAGCGTTCTCATTGGCTCCCTGTCCCGGGCGCGCGCGACGCCTCGCGAGGGGCACGTTTCTCTCATTCGTGCGGCTCGCGCCGCGGAGCTCGCCCCTGCCCACTCTCGGTAAATTCTTCTTCCTACCAGAAAATAATACTCATGTTATTGAAACTACCAGACTGATAATTCAGGTCCCTTCGGAGGTGCTGAGAGCGTCAGAAACAACCCAGGGTGAGTTTTATAGACGTTTTAGATTTACTGTTTCTGCTCTTGTTTTCTTCTGTTTTTCTGAAATGTATGCAGTGGACACTAGATTTTTTGATGTGTGAACCATATTTTTGACATAAACTAACACCAGATTTCTACTGCAGTTGAACACATGTCCATTTTTCAGAACATTTTTTCCTAAGGCTCCACAGAAATAGAAAAAAAAAAATGTGATGGAAAAAGTTTAATTAAAAATGTATATCCAGGGGTTCTCTGGTGGTGCAGCGGTTGAGGGTCCGCCTGCCGATGCAGGGACACGGGTTCGTGCCTTGGTTCGGGAAGATCCCACATGCCGCGGAGCGGCTGGGCCCGTGAGCCATGGCCGCTGAGCCTGCGCGTCCGGAGCCTGAGCTCCGCAACGAGAGAGGCCACAACAGTGAGAGGCCCGCGTACCGCAAAAAAAAAAAAATGTATATCCATATCCTCTGATGAGGGAACAGTCTTCGTTTCAGACCTAGTGCACAATCTGCACACGCTTTTCTATCTGTGCAGGTGAAATTTTTCATATTGATTTTAGAATAAACCCTGGCTCCATTTTTGGTTAGTTCTTCAGCTTTCACTTTTGCAATCATCCTTTTCGAGCTTAATAAATTACAGAGATAACAGATGTAAATCATCAAACATTTAAAGTAGTTTTCTGGAGCAAAAACTTTAAGTGAACACCCTAAGAAGAATTTCTAAATAGTAAAATCAATCCATAGCTACATTATGATGTTACTATAAATATTAATCCAAGCACTAGATACCATGAGTTTAACTTAAATGATAACTAAAAGACTTCTCTCCCTCCCAAAATACCTTCTTTGCCGTAGATCTGCTTTGCTAGTTCTCTGATTTGACACTGCCATTAGACTTCCTCTGATATAAACAACAAAAAAGCCATTGTCTGCAGAAAAGCAGCATAATGAGGCCTAGAAAATTCTTGAGAAAAGTTTTCTCTATCCTTTTTTCATAACCAGTGTGGAGTTGATTCATTTGTCTGGCAGAAAGCCTGATCTTAAAGGACAAAATAAAGAAGCTGTAGTCATCAGTGATGGGAAGAAGGTAACGTAGGATGATAGTGCCCAAGAAACCAAGAGGACAGCTTGCTTGGGTGGAAGGCTGTACATCGAGGCAGTGGCACATAAGAGGCAAGCTAGAGAAGAGAGGCTCCCCACAGATGCCCACCCAAGCCAGCCCAGGACACCTAGGAGAGGAAGAGAGAGGTCACTGAGACACATTTTACTTAATACTTCAGTTATGCCAGTCACCCCAAAAATTCAGGTCAGAGGGATGGTAGAGAAAGACTGGACCAAAAGTCAAGAGGCCCAAGCTCTAGACCCAGCTATTACTCCAGTTCTCCAGTTCTCTATGAACTTGAGCCAGTTGCTTTACTTCTCTGTGCCTTGTTTTCTCTATTTATAAAAAAAAAAAAAATAGATTAGGTAAACTCCCCTTAAGAGCTAAGATCTTGGGACTCTATATAATATATACGTTTCTTATAAAAATTAGTGATACTTGGGTCAAAGGTAAGCTAATTTTTAAAAAAGCAACTACTTTTGTTTTACTGTGGTCCAGTAAGTCAGACAACAGAATTGGACTTTAGAAAGAACTGAGGATAATCTAGTCAAGACAGTGACGCTGTTAGGTCTGGACCTTGAGCTCCAGTTTAAGAATGAGCAAGTCTGTCCTCAACTCAAAGGTGGAAGAGAAGCCAGTCTCCCTTTACCCGCTACAGATTTTCTAAGTTTTCCTGAGTTTTATCCAGCCTCCTCTGAAGAATTGTTCAAAAAACACTACAGCCGGGCTTCCCTGGTGGCGCAGTGGTTGGGAGTCCGCCTGCCGATGCAGGGGACACGGGTTCATGCCCCAGTCCGGGAGGATCCCACGTGCCACGGAGCGGCTGGACCCGTGAGCCATGGCCGCTGAGCCTGTGCGTCCGGAGCCTGTGCTCCGCAACGGGAGAGGCCACAGCGGTGAGAGGCCCGCGTACCGCAAAAAAAAAAAAAAAAAAACAATGAAATGGGGATAACTTATTATCCATTCATTTGACAGATATTTACTGAGCACCTATTATGTGCTAAGTACTAGGTTTATAATCATAAATAAAACGTATAATCACTCTTCTATGTTGCTGAGTCTAGTGAGAATAGAAAACAAAAATATAAACAAATTTTAATTACAGATCATGACAAATGCCATGAAAGACGATGCTGTTAGAGAGTTATAGAAGAGACTGTCTTTAGATTGGTTAGACAAGGAGGACCTCTTTGAGGAAATGGCATTTAAGCTAAGATCTGAAAGATGAAAAAGAGCCAACCATGAGAAAAGAGAGGTAATGAACATTCTAGGCAGAGGAAATGACAGGTGTAAAGATCTATGTTCAGAAAGACCTTGACTTGTTGCAAGAAGTAAAAGACCAATGTGGTTACAGCTTTGACTGTGAGGCAGAGAATGGTGGGAAATGATATTGGAGAAGTAAAAAGACTACTTTCATGTCCTCTCAAGGAGTTCGGAATATTTTTCAGTGCAGTGGGAAGCCATCAGAATGTTGCAAGCACAGAAAAGACATGATACAATTTGTGTTTTAATGAAATTATTCTAGTTATTATGTAGAGAATTTATTCAACTAAGCATTTATTACTAAACAATATCACACTAATGGCTGGGAGAAAATACCAAGTTGAGCAAAACATGTTCTATAATCCAGCATCTTGAGTCTAGTTATGGTGACACACATTGTTATATTGTGATACATTGTACTCTGAGTGGTGTATGCTGAGTGGATTGGATAATGGGATATGAAGAGGGTCTTCCAGGCAACAGTGTCTCACATAACTGTATACAAAAAGCATGGCATAATGGGACCCAGTAGTTCACTCTCACTCCATCAGTGAGAAGGACATGCTTAAATGCAGTGGGATTTCCCAGGCAATCAGTAAGGGTGTGGTCAATAAACGTGTGGGTCACATGACCCATGTCATATTTTTTATGGTACTTTTGCCAGGAAATGTGTTGAGAAGGAAATTGAAGCCATATAAGTCATTTCAGTTATACAGAAGTATGGTTATTATGGTATTAAGGTATTCTGTAAGGTTTTCTTGGCAGAACAGTTTAACTTGCAGTAGAAATTCTAATAATAGAGTAGTCTCATTCCCAAAGGTAACTCTCTGCATAGTATAAAACTACATTCATTGGGACTGGTTGGTGGAATAACTAAACTGAATTTGAGAATTATGGAATTTGTATGAAATAAATGCTTTTATTATAGGAAATGGGCAGACAGTCAGGAGATATAGCCCATCAAAGAGCCCAAATGGAACTGCCTTGTGCAGGAATCAGCCACACAAAGGAATACCCGCAATGTGCTAGTAAGTAAGACAACGTTTCATGGCAACAACAATGGAACAATGTCATGTTTGCTTTTTTTTTAATAGTTGCTGCAAAATTTCTAATACTGCTGGTCTTCAATCACATTAATCCTTACAGCTCTTCGGGGAGCTAAAATCATTTATTCTCTACAATGGAATATTACTCAGCCATAAAAAGAAACGAAATTGAGTTATTTGTAGTGAGGTGGATGGACCTTGAATCTGTCATACAGAGTGAAGTAAGAAAGAGAAAAACAAATACCATATGCTAACACATATATATGGAATCTTAAAAAAAACAATAAAAATGGTTCTGAAGAACCTAGGGGCAGGACAGGAATAAAGATGCAGACGTAGAGAATGGACTTGAGGACATGGGGAGGGGGAAGGGTAAGCTGGGACGAAGTGAGAGAGTGGCATGGACATATATACACTACCACATGTAAAATAGATAGCTAGTGGGAAGCAGCCGCATAGCACAGGGAGATCAGCTCAGTGCTTTGTGACCACCTAGAGGGGTGGGATAGGGAGGGAGATGCAAGAGGGAAGAGTTATGGGAACATATGTATAAGTATAACTGATTCACTTTGTTATAAAGCAGAAACTAACACACCATTGTAAAGCAATTATACTCCAATAAAGATGTTAAAAAAAAAAGCATTTATTCTCCAATTCACAGAAATAGCTTTTTAGACTCAGGGATAAGATAAAATGTGTTCATTAAATAAATAGAAGAGTAAAGAGTAAAATGAAGATATCTTGACTCTTGGTTCTGTGGTTGACTTACTTTAAAGAGGAGACAAGGATCATTATTTATCATATAGAAATTTGTTCAGCAACTTTGTAATAGACAGCTGAATTCCTCAGGTTACAATCGTCTTCTCTGCAATAAAGTAACTAATATTGCCATAATAGAAATAAATAAGGCCTTAGGAATTTACTTCTGCATAAAAGGTACTAATGAGTATGAAAATCTATACATATAAAAGTCCAGAATGTAGAGGGATAATTAGATCATTTTTCTCAGTTTTTCATATGTGTGTAGTAGTGATATCTGGGCCTAATTTCATCACAAATACATAAACCTTTGATTTTGACTTGGGCTATATATGAAAATTGGAGGGGATTGACAATATGCTACATTTTTTTGTCAATTTGCATGTAATGGTATTTAGATATTTTCATGAGCATCCTGCAGTTTAATAAACTGCTTCTTTTTTTTTACTGGTACGCAGGCCTCTCACTGTTGTGGCCTCTCCCGTTGCGGAGCACAGGCTCCGGATTTAAACTGCTTCTTATTCTTTGTTCTTTTGAGTACTTTCTGTCATTTCAGTCATTTCTTACCTTTTAGCCAGAGTTAGTGAGTCACTCCCTCAGTGTTGTGTATGTGGATGTCCATATTATCTGGAACACAATTCCCTAAAGTACTCATAAGCATTATCTCTACAAGTTAACAGAAGTTGGTAGAATAATAACCCAAAGGCCTCAGTCAATTCCGATTCCTTTCAGATAATCAAAGAAAG